AGGTTGGAGGAATATTCCAGCACAGAAAGGGAAGCCAGGCTCTAAGTACCTCTCACCCCCGTGCCATCTCTGATCTACATCTTCCTGACCGATTCCTTCCCTCCTCCCCTTCCCCCCCAACCAAGACTTACCAGCCAATGGCTTCAGCAGTGGAAACCAGCCAGTCAAGAAGAGTTTCTTGGTATATCGTAATGACTGCAGCCTTCCCCGGAGCAGCTCAGACTCTGAGTCCAGCAGCAGTAGCAGCAGCAGTGCTGCCTCAGATCGGACCAGGTACCGGCCCTTCAGATCCAGGCCTGCCTCTGGGATGCCCTTCCGGTTTTCCCTCTGGGAAGTGGGATGGCAGCCATCTCAGCCTACATTAAGATGGCTCAAATCCAAGGTTCTCTGCAAATAAATGGAATAGATGAGAATATCACCATAATGGAATGAAAGGAACCATACTGGGTTCAGCTGATGTTTTAGAGCAGAGGACATAAACTCTTGCTTTGTGGCCTGGATTGGCCTACAGACATATTTTGTTTGGCCAGCAGGGTGTGTTTTTAAGAATGGAATTCAGAAGTACCACATAAAATTCCCAGTTTCTGTGTTCCTTTTAAAATTAGGTCTGCCAAATCTGCCCAGTATTGCTTTTAGACAGGGTATACATTCGTCAGCACCACTGCTAAACCCAGCCCACATCAGTCAAATCAGTGCCAAGCCACTGAGAGCATTTTGATTTGAAAATCCTTAAGTAGCTCCTGCTTTCCAAAAGTCTTAGACGCTGGAGGTTTAAAGAAGAAAGAACACCCACCATGCCATTTTCCACTCTTTGTCTACAGCACAACACCCTCAAAACAAGGCAGGGGCAAGCCCTCCTTCTCTCGGGGCACATTCCCAGAGGACAGCAGTGAAGATACCTCAGGCACTGAGAATGAGGCCTACTCCGTGGGTACTGGCCGCGGCGTGGGCCACAGCAGTAAGTACCCCCGCCCGAGGCCAGGGATGCTGGGGGCCCAGTGTCCGGGCCTTACCAGCCCCCTGTCTGCTGATCTGCCCCCTCTCTCCCGTTCCTGTGAAGTTGTAAGGAAGAGTCTGAGCCGGGGAGCTGGCTGGCTGTCTGAGGATGAGGACTCCCCACTGGATGCTCTGGACCTGGTGTGGGCCAAATGCCGAGGGTATCCATCATACCCAGCTCTGGTAGGTTTCTGCTTTTTTTTGGGTCATATTCCTTGCCTGTCAACCCCAGAATGCAGACTCACAATTAGTAGACTTTTTCTACTCTCTCCTGAGCTGCAGAGTTCAGGGGTCTTTGCCAGGTAGAGAGTTAGAGGTCCCTGGTTAGTTTCTCCAGCCTTCCCTTTTCCTTCCCATGACCCCTTGGGCTCTGAAATAATTGCAGTAGCATGATAACCTTTCCATGTCTCTACTTCAAAGGAATCTCCAAATTCTTAGGTAGAGTAAGCCTTGGGAAAGAGGGACTGAACCAAACCAAGGTCTTATTATTCCTTCAGATCATTGATCCAAAGATGCCCCGGGAAGGTATGTTCCACCATGGGGTTCCCATTCCTGTGCCCCCACTAGAGGTGCTGAAACTTGGGGAGCAGATGACCCAGGAAGCCCGAGAGCATCTCTACCTCGTCCTCTTCTTTGACAACAAGCGAACCTGGTAAGGGAGGAGGGGAGCATGTGGTGGCTCACAGCCACAAATACAACCGTGGAAATGGGGGCAGATTGCCAGGAAATTCCAGCAACAGACAGGCTGGGCTGTCACCATTCAGTGGGGGGAGGGAGTTAGGTCTTTAAGAAAAAGGGTTGTGTTGACCACAAGTCTGAGCAACTGATTGGGCACAGCTGACAAACAGCTGTGACTAGAAAACAAAGAACCATCAGTGACTGTGACAAATATGGGAGTGGCTCCCCACCCAGATTGAGGTGACTTCTAAGACTTAGTTTTCCCACCTCTGCCTCCATGTTGACAAGATTAGGATAAAGCAGGCATAAAATCAGACTCTGAATCCCTCTTATGTCTCATTTACATATGTAATCTTTTTGTTAATTATATGCAGAGGATTTTTAATACCAGTAAAGTCTGCCTGGAACCTGTGGGACAGGGGACTATTTCAGGTTAGGTTAGGGCTCCTTTTTGTACCCATAAGTATCCTGTGGGTACCCGTCAGTGTGACAGTTGACTGGGCTCTTTTATCACTGAACAGTTATTTGAGGGCCCACCAGAGTCTCATTCTTAGGACATGTGTTTGAATGAATTGAGTGAGGAAGGCTGGTGTTTACTGACCTCCCAGAGAGGACTTATTTGATCCTTGCTTCATCTTGTAGGCAATGGCTGCCTAGGACTAAGTTGGTTCCTCTGGGTGTGAACCAGGACCTCGACAAGGAGAAGATGCTGGAGGGCCGCAAGTCTAACATCCGCAAATCAGTGCAGATTGCCTACCATAGGGCTCTGCAACACCGCAGCAAGGTCCAGGGCGAGCAGAGCAGCGAGACCAGTGATAGTGACTGATACTGCCAGCACAGCCCAATCCACAGTGCCCTGCCACCTCTCTCCCCTTTGCTCACTGTCCTGGAGTGGCACCGGCCTCTGCACTGATTCATTCCTGGTCTTGGGGCCAGTCTCAGGGGAAGCTGGGTAGGGGAGGTCCCTCCTGCCCTGAGTGCAGCTGGACTGTACAGAACACTCCAAGGGCCCATGGTAGCTCTGTGCAAAGAGAGGGGAGGTCCCACAGGCCAGAAAGCTCCAGAGACCTCACAGCATTGTAGTGCAGGGTGGTGGGCCAAGGTTAGAACACTGCATAAAACAGGCCAGCCCATCACCTCTGCCTGCTCATGCCAGGAGAATCCATAACTGCCTATTGGCCTGAGGCCTGTGCAGGAGATAAGGTGAACGGGCATTCGCCCTGCCTAACAGTGGGATTGATGTCTGTCCAGCCTGGAAGAGGGGCACTAGGTGACCCCCTCCCCTGCTTTTGTAAATACTGTAATTAGTGGAGAATTTAAATTATTCTCATTTGTAACTGCGTTTCCGGGTCGCGCCAGAGTCATTTGGTACTAAAAAGACTGGGGCCTGTCCCCTCTTCCCTTCTTCCCATAGATTTCCCCACCTTTCAAACTGGTTTGTATTTATTTCAAAAGAAGAAAATATATTGATTCTTAGAAAATACTGTTTGGAATTCTTGGTTCCTGCCTTCTGCCAGGGCAAAGGGAGGTTCTGTTCCCCGGGGATGGCAAATAATTGGGCCCAAGTGGTTGCTGGCTGTTGCATTTGTAAGACAACAGCAAAAATAATATGACAGCTCTCATTTCTCATGCACTTCTGAGTGGCAGTGCCTCCGTTAGCTCCTATAGATACAGTTTCATGTATCCTTGCATTAATTAAAGGAAAGGTTAATAATAGGGTGATTATTTCCACAAAGACATAGGTTTTGAAAAATTAAGTAACTTGCCTAAGTTCTCAGTAGGAAGTTGCCAGAAAGCTCCAGAGACCTCATGGCATTATAGTGCAGGGTGGTGGGCCAAGGTTAGGATTCTGCATAAAACACCATCCCATCCCCTCTGCCTGCTCATGCCAGGAGAATCCATAACTGCCTAATGGCCTGAGGCCTGTGCAGGTGATAAGGTGAACAGCCTGTGGGAATGATGGCTGTCCCACTAGGATCTGAACTCAGGTCTGTCTGCAATTTAACCAGTATGCTGAACTGCTAGAGGAAGAGTCAACTGTGCAAGCTTTCATGAACTTTGGATGTTTACAGTTCAACAGGATTGTCCAAGTGTTTCAGAGTCACTAGAGTTGTGACTTTCTCCATTCATTCCCAACCCTGGCTCCTTTTCTGATGCAAACATCTTTTGAAGGAATGCCTTCCAAGTGCTAGGCACCTGTGGGCTGGTGTGCCAATAGACCAAACAATCACAGGAAGCAGTTGTGGAGGGTTTTGGAGCTATTGAGTGGAAGTGAGACAACATCATGTCTGATGACACCAAGTTCCTGGTACTCCCTGCTAGGTAATTGGGTGGGGCACAAAGGTAAATCAGCTGTAAATCTGCAGTCTAATCATCAGCCACCAAAAAATCATTATGCTAGGAGATAAAAAAAAAGAAAGTCGCCAGATAAAAGCACAGGTCTAGCTTTTTGTAACTTTCTCCAGAAGGGAAGAAATTACACCTTTCCTGGGCTCAGGAAGACAGCCCCGGCAACCTGGCTAGGCAGGCAGGCTGCCTCTCGGCCACACAGTTGTGCTTGAACTTAGATGCCTTTCCCAGCCCCAGAGAAAGCCCCCACACGAGCCGAGCCGCAGTCGACGCGGCAGTGTGAGGTGGGGGAGTGCGGAAGGGAAGTCCGGACAGGAGAGTAGAGGAGGCAGGGACAGGAGGCGGGACGATCTGAGGGGGCAGGCCTCGGAGTGAAGTCGGTCAGGAGGCCCAAGACCGGCGGGCGCGGAGACATTTCCTCAGGAGTCAGGCGCTGTGTTCGGGTCCGGGTCCGATTCTCAGTGAACAGGGGTTCATCGTAAGAGGACCTAGGAAAGCGAGACTAGAGAGGCGCGGTGGAGAAAGGCTCTCTGAAAATGGCGGGGATAGGCTTTGGCTGTGAGGGCCGGCGAGTCTGAGGACATCAGCCAGTGAGGACCGCGGGCCTCAGGGCCTGCCCGGTGGGGACACGCAGGCCGGCCTGAGGCAGAGGAAAGGCCCGGAAAGGGCCAGCGGCGAGCCCAGCGCGCGCCAACCGCTGAGACGCCTCGGGAAGGCCCGCCCAGCGCCGCCACGCCCGTTCTCATTGGTGCCTCGTATGTCCCCGCGGATTGGCCACCTCCAGATCCAATAAACCCGGACCTGAGCCCTACTTCCGGTAAGGCTTCTGAAAGCCCTACTTCCGGTAAGGTTTCTCAGGCAAGGCCGGAAGAGTGCGCGTGCGCGCGCGTCCCAAACTACGGCAGCTCGAGGCACCGTGGTGAACGCCCTGGGGCTGGTGGGCGGGAGGTGCAGGGGAGAAGGCGGGACTGAGCGGAGAGGGCGGGACTTTGGCGGGTAGTAAGGAGCGGTGCCTGCGAGGAGTGGAAGAAGGAGACTGGGCGGAACTTAATACAAACATTGAGAGGCGAGAGTTTCGTGGAGAGGGAAGAGGGCTTTGGTGAGCGAGGCCAGGTTCGCGGTCTCTTGGTGGGCATGGTCTGTTGGTAGCGACTAGATCTAGTTCCGAGTGGGCGTGGCCATTATGGGGTGGAGCCTGACACAGAAATATTAGCCTGCTCCCTTGTGCCTGGTTAGCATGGGGCATCGCACTCTATCCTCCGTCCCCGCCCTGTGGGCCTCCATCCCCTGTCCACGCTCTGAGCTGCGCCTGGACTTGGTTCTAGCTTCTGGACAATCCTTCCGGTGAGTGACCTTGCTTAGCCTGAAGTGCAAAGTTGGGTGTGACGGAAAAAATCTCAATGTACGAAAGAGGAAATTGAGGCACAGGGGTGGAGAGCCTGTTACCTTTTTTTTTTTTTTTTTTTTAATGGCCCGTGGTTGTTGTAAGGGTGGGAAAATGTTACCTTTTTTTATAAAGACTTAATAATAAGCCTGTGCAGTGTTGTGAGGATCAAATGAGATAATTGATGTCAAATAAAGCACTTTTACTTTACAATTGATAAATCAGTTTTATATGTGGAAAGGTTGTAGGATGGGAGGGCACCCAAGGTTGCAAAAAGGGAACCTGAGCCCTGTGCCTGGGGTCTCAGGTGGAAGGAGCAAAACCCTGCGCACTGGAGTGGTGTGCTGGCAGACCAGGTATGGACACTGACGCAGACGGAGGAGCAGCTCTACTGCACTGTGTACCGAGGGGGAAAGGGCCAGACTGGCAAGCCCACACCAGAAGAGCTAAAGGCCCTGCGCCAGTACTTCCAGCTGGATGTCAGCCTGGCTCAACTGTATCGCCACTGGAGTTCCAAGGACCCCCACTTCCAAAAAGTAGCTCAGGAATTCCAAGGTGAGTATAGGGATTGGGACAGGGATTGGGTTGGGGTTCTTGTAGTTTGGTTAGGTTACTCAGTTTCACCATCTATAAGTGGGGGATTATATTTCCCTCATAGGATTTTATGAGGATTAAATGAGCTAATATATGTAAAGTGTTTAGAATAGTGCCTGACCCATAGTACTTATTACTATTATGATTGTCCTACTGATCACCATCATGGAGTAACAAGGATAATGAGCACCAAATTCTGGATGTGTGACTTAGGATAGGTGACATCATTCATTCTGTAAATATCACAGACCATCTGCTATGTGACTGGGGATATAGCAGTGAACAAAATGGACACAAATCCCCATCCTCATAGTGCTTACGTTGTGGCTTATCTGTGGAATGGGATGATGACCCAGACCTCGCAAGATGCTATGAGGAATGTTGTTGCTTTCTCTGACAAACTCTGTCCCTCATTCCCCTGGGAGCCTACATGCCTAGGATCTGAGGGTGAGAGGCGGCCACTCCTGACAGCAGGTGCTTCTCTTACCCGTTGCCTTTATGATCTTCAGGTGTTCGACTCCTACAACAGGATCCCATCGAGTGCCTTTTCTCCTTCATCTGTTCCTCCAACAACAACATTGCTCGCATCACTGGCATGGTGGAACGGCTCTGCCAAGCTTTCGGACCTCGGCTCATCCAGCTTGATGATGTCACCTACCATGGCTTCCCCAGCCTGCAGGCCCTGGCTGGTGAGTAGGTGGGTGCCTGGCCCAAGGCTCACTAACAGATTTCAGAGTCTGTTTGGTTCTTCGCTGGTCCCCATCTCCCATCTCAAAGCTTCCTGCCTTCCCAAAGGCTGCCCTCATCCAGAATCATCCTGTCTTGTCCAATCAGCCCCAGACATACCTCACCCTCCCTGTCAGTCCCTGAAATGTCAGCACCTCACTACTCTTGTTTTTTGCCCCATGATGTCAATGCCTCATCAGAAAAACATCCATATGCGGTGTGTAATAGTTTGAGGTTAAATGCATATGCTTGTTGTTGTTGTTTGGGGTTAAATGCATATGCTTGTTGTTGTTGTTGTTTGGGGTTAAATGCATATGCTTGTTGTTGTTGTTGTGGTGTGTGTGTGTGTTTTAATATATTTTTTAATTAATTTGTTACAGAGAGGAAGGGAGAGGGATAGAGAGCTAGAAACATCGATGAGAGAGAAACATCGATCAGTTGCCTCCTGCAAACCCCCCCCACTAGGGATGTGCCCGCAACCAAGGTACATGCCCTTGACCAGAATCGAACCCGGAACCCTTGAGTCTGCAGTCCACCGCTCTATCCACTGAGCCAAACGGGTCAAGGCTATTGTGTGTGTTTTTTAAGAGAAAGTTTATTTAGAAAGTCACAGAGGTAGAAGTGAGCTGTAAAAGAAATGGCATCAGGAAACAAGTTACAAAGGCAAAAGAAGGACCCTTGGAGCTTAGGAGAAAGAGAGGGGCAAGGAAAATGCACCTTGGCAGAAGTGGGTGAGGAAAAGCACAGGCGTGCTCCATAGAGAGAAACCTCTACACACGTGTTCTGGAAAGAGAGTGCCTTAGTCTGAATCCCAACTCTGGCACGAAGTTAGCTTCTCCTTTGTTTCTTCATCTGTGGAAGGTAATAACATTCAGAGTTGTCACAGGAGTTGAGTAAAAGCATACACATACTGCTTTTTTAGATATCTTGTACATTGTTGGGCATATGGGGAATATGCAGAAAATGCAAGTTGCTATCTCTATGGTGAACCCAACAATTTTGTATCCAAGAACACACATTCTTTACAGCAGCCCTGTGAGGCAAGTTTTACAGAAATAAGTATCTCAGTTGGCAGAAGTGAGGACCAAGTCAGGGATAGTGCTTGGGGAATGTATAGTAAGGAGACAGCCTGCCTGGAGAAAAAAAGAATGTTTTTGGTGCTTAGAAACCCAGTCTTTTTTTTTTTGTCTTTTTTTTTTTAATATATTTTATTGATTTTACACAGAGAGGAATTGAGAGGGACAGAGAGTTAGAAACATCGATGAGAGAGAAACATCGACCAGCTGCCTCTTGCACACCCCCCACTGGGGATGTGCCCACAACCAAGGTACATGCCCTTGACCAGAATCGAACCCGGAACCCTTCAGTCCGCAGGCCGACGCTCTATCCACCGAGCCAAACCGGTCCCAGCTAGAAACCCAGTCTTACACCTTAGTTTCCAGCTTAGTATTCATAAGAACTCAAGAAACTCATTCACCCTTTCAGACTTCCCTTAACTTGTTTGTAGGATGGGTATAACAATTCCCATCTAGAAGGGTGAGAGGGAATAAATCATGAAGCGGGTTTAGAGCACAGGAGTTGGTGTTTCAGACCCAGGTGCAGATCCCATCTCCACCGTGTCCCTTCTTCAACAAGTTACTTAATCTTTTCTAAGTCATCATTTTGAAATAGGGAAAACATCTGTGAAATAGGAAAAACAGCCCAGCCAGTGTTGCTCAGTGGTTGGGTGTTGACCAATCAGGAAGTCAGGGTTTGATTCCTGGTCAGAGCACATGCTCAGGTTGTGGGCTCTATCCCCAGTAGGGGTCATGCAGGAGGCAGCCCGATCAATGATTCTCTCTTATCATTGATGTTTCTATCTCTCTCTCTCTCCCTTCCTCTCTGAAATCAATAAAAATATATTTTAGCCGAAACTGGTTTGGCTCAGTGGATAGAGCATCAGCCTGCAGACTGAAAGGTCCCAGGTTTGATTCCAGTCAAGGGCATGTATCTTGGTTGTGGGCACATTCCCAGTAGGGGGTGTGCAGGAGGCAGCTGATTGATGATTCTCTCTCATTGATGTTTCTAACTCTCTATCCTCTCCCTTCCTCTCTAAAAAAATCAATAAAATATTTGAAAAAAAATTTTGAAAAAATACAGTACTATTATCAGGATCCTTGAGAAAAATGAGTGTGATAATGTATCCAAAGCACTTTGTCTGTATTGGATAACCACGACTTGATCATAGAAGCTCTTGCCATTATTATGACTATTATTTTAGATCATGGGTGTGAACAGTCCTTTGGAAAAGTTAAGAAACTCAATTAGGAAGTTCCTCCAGGACAGCAAGCCCTTCTGAGTCCCTGCTCTAGTGCTCAACACAAAATAGATGTTCAGAAAACATTTGTAGAGGGGTAAAACCCAGACCTTAAACCTGTTCTTTGCACATGCAAGTATCCCAGGGTCTCCCAGAGGGTGGTGAGGTGGGAGAGGGGTGCTTGTGAAAGTATTCCTTTGGGGTGGAGGGCTCACCCTAGCCTGAGCATATAAAAGGATTTGAGGATACCTGACCCTGCTCCTTTCCCCATCTCCCTACAGGGCCAGAGGTGGAGACTAAGCTCAGGAAGCTGGGCCTTGGGTACCGTGCCCGCTATGTGAATGCCAGTGCCCGAGCCATCCTTGAAGAGCAGGGGGGATTGCCCTGGCTGCAGCAGCTGCGCAAGGCCCCTTACGAAGAGGCCCACAAGGCCCTCTGCACCCTGCCTGGAGTGGGCACCAAGGTGAGGCCTCAAGGCGGGTAGGAGCTACCCTCAGACCACCCATGTAGAGAGTAACAGAGTAGAAGACAAGACAGGCCTGACAGCTGGGTGCAGAGCAGGAAGGAAAAGCAATACAAGCAGATACTTTATTAGAGAAAATGCAAAAAGGGTATAAAGGACATTGCCCTTTGAGTGCATTTGTAGAAAGGCCATTTGTTCAGGTGCACATATACACGTATACATGAAATTTATATATGTATATTTATATATATACATATATAAATTTCATGAAGGAATCACAGGAAACTTAATAGTGGTTACCTTTGGGAAGATACATAGGAAGGTATTTCTACTTTTTTTTTTTTTTAATATATTTTATTGATTTTTTACAGAGAGGAAGAGAGGGATAGAGGGTTAGAAACATCAGTGAGAGAGAATCATCGACCAGCTGCCTCTTGCACCCACCCCACTGGGGATGTACCCACAACCAATGCCCATGCCCTTGACGGGAATCAAACCTGGGACCTTTCAGTCCACAGGCCGACGCTCTATCCATTGAGCCAAATCGGTTTCAGCGGTATTCCTACTTTTATTCTTCTTGTGAATTATATGTACTTATAAAACTTTTTCTTTAATTTCAACCAGAGGATTGCAAATCTGACATTTATTGAGTTCTTCTGTATACTTCTCTGCAGTTTTGTTTAAAGAACTTTTTTTTTATGGGCTCTGAACTTTAACATTAAGTCCTTGTTCTGATTCTTCCTAGCCATGTAACTTGGGCCAACTCACTTAACCTTTTAGAACCTCATTTTTCTTATCTGCAAAGTGAATATAGTACCAGCGTCTTTCTAGGATATGAGAACTTGGCCTCTGTAGATATTCATGCAGTAGCACTCTCATCTCATCTGTATTTAAAATTATTAATTGGTATATATTGATTGGGAATATAGAAGAAGAATAATCTCAGAGTGGCAGAGGAAGTATAGTTGGCTTTTGGGCTAGAAGCAGGATGCTGCCTGGATCCTGCCATTTCTTTATGTCCGTCACAGGTGGCCGACTGCATCTGCTTGATGGCCCTAGACAAGCCCGAGGCCGTGCCCGTGGATGTCCATGTGTGGCAGATCGCCCAACGTGACTACAGTTGGCATCCCACAACAACCCAGAGCACGGGTCCAAGCCCCCAGGCCAACAAGGAACTAGGTAAGGGAGAGGGAGATGCCAGGGCTGGCAGTTGGCTGAGGTGGTAGACACTTCTCACCTCTCTCCCTAATACCCCACCACTGTGGATGGGGATGTGGGGCCAATTTGTTTTGCCTCACTATCTCTGATTTAGGAAACTTTTTCCGGAGTTTGTGGGGACCTTATGCTGGCTGGGCCCAAGCAGTGAGTATACCTAGGCTTCCTCTCCTCCAGCCCTGACCCCATAGGACTTCTCCCCAAGCCCTGACCCAGGGACTCTTGTACTGCTTCCGCCCTAGGTGACCCTAAAGTATTCTCTACCCTTCATCCCCAGCCCTGTCTCTAGTGGACTTGTCTTGCTCTGGACCTGCTCCCCAGTAATGCCATTTCTCCCCACACTACCACCAGCCCCACCAGTCAGTGTGCCCTGAACCCAGTGTACTCTGTCCTCACATTGACTCTTCCCCTGCCCCCAGGTGCTGTTCAGTGCTGACCTCCGCCAACCCCACCAAAAACCACCAGCAAAGCGCAGAAAGAGATCCACAGGGCTCGAAGTCTAGGTGGGGGGCACAGGACAAAGGGATTCTCCCAACATCTTTTCCCTCCATTCCCTACACTCTCCTCCATCCAGACTCATGTTGGGAAGGGGGCTCCAGGCAACTACCTCAGGGTCCAGACAACCTCAAGCCAAGCAGTTTGCATAACAGTGTGGAGTGGGGGTGGGGGGTTATCTAGGGAGACAAAGCTACCTTTGGTTTTATCCTCTTCCCTTTATTACAAGAAGGAACAATAAAATAGAAACATTTGTATGGAAAATGCAGTGGGGGAGTGGTAGGAAAAGGGGTGGGGTGGGGTTGGGTGGAACTGGGTAACCTCAGTTCAAGGAGAGAAGAGGAGCAGTCTGCCCCCAATCTCTCATACACAGGGGATCCTGACCCTGGATCCAGGGACCTAGAGCTGGGGGGACAGCCCGGGGGTCATTTCCGGACCCGACTCCACACAGCAGTCTCGACAGCAGCAGCCAGCCACTGGCCCTACATGGGGAGAGAACAGACTTGGCTGTAGAAGCAGACACTCCACTCCAGTCTGGGTGCCTCTTCGTGGACCACCCACACGCTTTCACAGAGTCCTGGTCCTCACCTGCAGCTGCTGGTGTCAGCAGCTCCCCATGGCTCGCCGTGGGTCCCTGCCCCTCCTGGCTGGTGCCCAGCTGTAGCTTCCTCATGTGCCGCACCACAGCCGTGGCATTGAAGGCTTGCTGTGGGGAGATGGGGGGAGAAGGGACTTTTCAGAGAATGGGAGATCATGGGGCAGGGTCTGGCGGTGGGATTCTTGCAGTGGTTCTGTTATTTTCAGTTGTTATTCCCTAAAACCACCTAAAATATCTGCAAGGCTTTATTAAATTATATTCAGCCATATTACATATTTACACTCCCATCTACACACATATATAAAAAGTATGTAAACAGATATGTAACTTTTATATAACTCATATTTACATAATAGCAAACACAATATAGCATATTTTAGGCATCATTCTAAACACTTTGCATAGTATTAATTTAATCTTTATAGAAATCTTTGAGGTGAGCACTATTAGTGTCACCATTGTCAAAGGAGGAAACTGAGGCACAGAGAGGTTAAGTAACTTGCCCAGGTGTGTATATATCATTATTTAACACTAGAGGCCCAGTGGATGAAAATTCATGCACTGGAGTGGGGGGTCCCTCAGCCCAGCCTGCCCCCTCACAGTCTGGGAGCCCTCAGGGGTGGGAGACAACCTGGCAATCAGGGAAAGAGGTGTCCCCATCACACCTCTCCCCTGCTGCCACTGCTGGCAGTGCAAGACTTGGGCAGCCCTGGGCGGCTGGGCAGCTGCCATCCAAGGCTTGCCTGTGCCTTGAGCCAGCCCTAGGGGGCTAAGAGGTTGAGAGGACTGGGCACTGCCATCTTGTGGCTATGGGTGCTGCCATCTTTGAGGGCATGACAATCAATTAGTATATTCCCTCCTTATTGGCTTGAGTACCACCATCTTTGTGAGGACATGATGGCCAATTAGCATATTAGATTGGATATTCCCAAGATGTCTCCATAAAACCCTCAAATTCACCATGTCCAAAACCCAAGTAATCCCCCAAAACAAGTATCAAGCCAGCCCTTGGCATCTCTCACGTCAATATCCATTCTACCATCACTTCTTGTCAATTCCACCTCCTAATTGACTCCTGCACCAACTACTGTTCTCTGTTCCTGTTGCCTCTGCTCTGGTCAGTCCTCACTGTCTCTGGCCTGTCTCTCTGCCACATCCTCCTAAGGGTTCTCCAAGCCTTCATTCTATGCCTCTCTCTGCATCCTGAGAGTCCTTTCTAAAGGGCAAATTCCTGCTGAAAGTCCTTCTAGGGCTCCTTAGCATCGTCAGGATCAAGTCAGTGTTCCACTGTGGCACTCGAGACCCTAAGCAGCCTGGCTTCTATCTGCATCTCCAGCCTGGGCCCTACATCTCAGAAGCCCTCACTGCCCCCGAAGTCCTTCTAGTACAGCCATCCTTAGCACTGGCACTTCCTAGAATGTCCATACTGTCTCTTGTCCTTGGCCCTTTATACATTATTCTACTATGGCCTTAGACATTATTCTACTATGCCTGGCTAATTCCTACTCCGCTGAAGGTCTGTAAGGCCATCACCAACTTTATGCCCCTTTCAGGACCCTGTAGGTTGGATTAGATGTCTCCTTAAGAATTATATACTGTTCTCCCTCCAGACTTGGAGGTCAGGGACCTTCACTGGAATAGAGCAGGTGTCAAGGAACATTGAATGAATGAAAGGTTCTTTGGTAAGCATCCTTGAGCAGTTACTGTGTACCCAGCTTGGTGCTAGGTGTTGTGCTAGCTGAGGCATGGTTTCAGGAGGGGAGGAAACCTGGGGAGGCTGGGACCCAGGACTGGGAATGTGGGCTCACCTTCCACTTGCTCTTGGCAAAGTTCTTCTTGATCTGCTCACTCACTGACTGGTGAATATTCTTATCTAGAGCCGTATCTCCTGCAATCCTAGAGTAAGGGTATGTGGAGGGTTATCTGAAGGCAGAGGCAGGCCTGGGGGCCCAGGCCCTTCCCCAGTTCACAGCTCATGGAACTCTCACCATGGGTGCTGCAAGGCCTGCTCACAGGTGAACCTCTTCTCCGGATCCTTCTCCATCAAGTGCCTGATGAAATCTTTGGCTGAACCAAGACAAAAGTAAAGACAGAAAGAACATGGTAGTGCCTATGGACACCCCCAAAACAGAATCCACCCCTCAGGTCTGGCCTGGTATCTAAGCAAGATGAGCGGCTAGATTTGTTCATGCACCGTCACACCCCACCTGTTCTCTTTCTCTAAGCCCTCCCCCACACACCCCAGCATTCCAGCTCTCTCCTTTTTCCCTTAAGAAAAACTTGTTCCTAGAAGATTCTACTCAGTGTATTCACACTGATGTGTAAATGATTGATAATGGTTTCACAGATGGAGACATTTATGTGGTGTTTTAGGCATTAGGATGTCAGTGGGAGGTATTTGCAGAAATACTATGTTTGAAGACTGAATGGATGAATGCCTACAGGTTTCTCAGGTCATGGCCAGGCAGAGGAAAGAGCCTGGGGTTGGTGTCTCAAAGACAGCTCTTAGTCTGGGGCCCAACTGACTTCGGGAAGGCAGTGAGAAGACCCCAAAGCAGATGAGGAAGGCACCAGAGGCAGGGCCCAGAGGAAGAAGGCAAAGCCCCAAATACCAGAGTCAGAGATGTCGTCCCAGTAAGGAGAGTCAAACTCGTACTCGGCCTTCAAAATCTGTTCAAAGAGTTTGGCATCATTCTCGTCATAGAAGGGGGGGTAACCGCAGAGCCTGGGCAGGGAGAAACTCATCCTCATTTTCCATTTTCAGTGTACCCATTGGCTCCGGGGTGGAGCTTCGGGGCAGTCCCAGGCGTTAGGCAAGACCCACCGGAAGGAGTCCCCCCTTTTACAAAGGGGGCTGCGGGAATCTACTCCTCTCTGCCTTGTTCACTCCTGTCCAGTTCCACTTTCTATTCCTTATCATGCCACCATCTTCCCTTGCTCAGGGCCTTTACACTTGCTATTCATGTCTGGCTTGCTTCATTCAGGATGCTATTCATGTCTGGCTTGCTTCATTCAGGATGCCACTCAAATGTCACCTCAGAGAGGCATTCCTGACCTTTTCATCTAAAATGGCATCCATCCCCCCACTCCCCACCATGCTTCATTTTCCTTCATAGTACTTTTTACCACCTGACATTTTATGGATTTATCTACTTGTTATTTACTTGTTTATTTACTTGTCTCCCCTACTACAGTGTCTGCTCCCTGAGGGCAGGCACTTTGTCTGTTTTGTTCTCTGCTAAACACCCAGTGCTTGGTGCAATGTCTGAAACATAGTATCTATTGAATGAAGTAATATTAGTCATTAATTGGTAGACAAAAATGTGGAAGGCATGAAGGAAGAAATTGCAGAGGGGAGGAAGAGAGCAAAGTAGGGGAGAAGAGCACTCTGGAGCCATGCACCCCAATGGCCAAGACCCCACTCACAGGATATAGGCAATGACTCCAATGGACCAGCAATCCACTGCCTTGCTGTAGGGTTTCTGGGCCAGGACCTCAGGGGCTATGGAGGGAAGAGGACATGGTGGTGACAAATTTCTGCCCTGCAGCTCCTGGTTCCTCCCCTGCCCATGGTCCCAGCCCAGGGCCCTCCGTACCCACGTATCCCGGAGTCCCGCAGGCCGTGGAGAGTACACTGCCAGGGTCCTCCATCTTGGAGAGGCCAAAGTCGGAGATCATGATCTTGGAGTCTTCATCCAGGTTGTAGTACAGCAGATTCTCTGGCTTAGAGGGCAGGAGGGAGGGGAAGGGGCAGTCAGCGATGGCCAAGCGCCCCCTCCGAAACAATGGGCCCTCAAAAGCCCTTATGGCTTCACAGCTGCTACCTTAGTTGGAGGGGCAAGAAACTCAAGGAGGTTCTCAAGGAGGTTAA